GGTACTTCTGCGCATGGTGGGCGCAGAGGTGCACCTGTGCATTGAGGCAATGCCCCGGCCGGGGGACGTCCGACACCTCTGCGTCCTCCTGTAGCAGAACAGTCGCCTCCTGCATCCCTCGGTCGCCGCACCCCTCCGGCTGGAGGGGGCGTGCGCCACCTGCGAGCTGCACCCCAACTTGGGCGGCTTGGCAGGGGCGCTCCTCCGCCTCCACCTCGCTCTCCGAATCGATGTCCAGGCGGCGATAGCCCGTGGCGTCAGTGATGTAGCGGGGCTCCGGCCGGCCCCGGCACAGCCATCCAAGTACCGACCAGGGTGAGCAAAGCAGCCACTTGGCGACCCCGAATACCTTCCGGAGTCCCACGCCGACTGCCCGGCAGGCTGTGGCCTTTCCGTGCTCAGCCAAGTCCACGATCTGTGCGTGGTCAATGGCCGCGTACTGGTCGACATGCATGGGGTGCGCCACTGGACAGGAGGCGCACTCGACGGCACGGCATAGATGCACGTTCCCGGTCTCCTCGAGGTTCAGCCGCCACTTGCGACTGGTGCACCCCAGGACCTGCCCGATCTTGATGTTGAGCCCGTGGCGGTCCAGTCGGTACCGGTCCGCGAAGTTGCAGCTGATGCGGGCCACCTGCCCGTGCTTGCGCAGAAGCACGTGGTTGTACGCCCGATTGGTTCCCCGGCCGCGGACCCCCTTTGTGTAGAACTCCGTTTCCACCACGCCGCCCAAGCCCGGCCCGCGCCAGCGCACCAGCAAGGGGGTCGGAGGGGGCGGGGGGAGATGGGCGCCGGGCCCATCGCCTCCGCGTCGCTGGCAGCACCGGGTAATCTGGTACCACGCCCAGCGGAGTCCCCCGGCTGCCCACAGCATAGGCTGGGCTGCGGTGTTGACGATGAAGGCCAGGGCACCCAACACGAACGTGAAGATGCCTAAGGCGAAGCAAAGGACCGCGGTCTCCCACCAGTACCCGAGCATCTTAACGCCCAGGCGGTCGATGGCGGATCCAATCCATCCGCCGCTCGTGCGGATCGTGCCAGTGTGGTCGGGGGAGCTCACCCACGCTTCGTAGCCCACGAACTCGAAGACCCAGGCTGCGAATCCCCAACCGGGACCTGGCCCCGCCTCCGGGGGCGGGGTAGGTGGCGGCGGTGGCGGTGGGGGTACGTTCCGACCAGCCCACCAATGGGGCAGGTGCGGGACCCAACCACTCCACCCCCAATACCCGTCCAGCCCGCGCGGCGGGTCAGGCTCGCCATCGCCCGTATGGTTTCCCGGGGCGGACGGCTGCCCAGGCGCGCCCGTGGGCTCGTCGCTCCCTCCGTATGCCGGCGTAGCTGGGCTACCCGTGGGCTCGCCCTGGCCTACGCGCCCGATGCCCGCGGGTGTGGTCGTTGTAGTCGACCCTGACCGCGGCGGCGCAGGGACGCCCGGCGTCCCCGGGGGCTTGGCCTGCGGCCCTCGCCCCTTTCCCCCTGCAGGCGCGGGCTTGGCGGGCGGTCCTCGCCCCTTGCCTTGCCCCCCACCGCCTGGCGGCAGCGCTGTCGGCCCGGGCAGGGCTGACGGCGTCGGCGCTGGGACCTCATTTCCCCCGCGCCCGAACGGCAGCCAGCCAAGTGCCCCTTGGACCGTGAAAGCACCGCCCGTAACCAAGATCATCAGGTGCGCTCCCAGGAAGCCCACAGCCATGGCACCACAGACGCGCTACCTAGTCCGCGGACTAGCACGGCTGTGGTTGTGGCCGCCCCGCGGCCCCCCGGAACACCCGCGCGTCGGCCAGAGCCGAACGCTACGGACCCAAAATGGCTACCTGAGCCCACACCCCCTCCCACTTAACCTGCAGTCTACAACCAATCAGACTATACAATGCCCGCGCCTTCGAAGAAGCAGCGGTGCTTCGAAGAAGCCGCCCCCCTCCCCCTGCCCCTCATCTGCGCGTGGCCGAGACGGAGGGGCCGTGAGATCCGGGGAGAGATGAGGCTCCTGGCCACCAGCGCCACCCACCCAGCCATCACCCCTCTCTTGGCCGCCCCGCGACGCAGTGGGGGAGGTGGCATCCACGCCCAGCGCGCGGACCGCCGCGGGCACCTCGGAGCGCTGGCAGGCGGTGAGGTCGGGGCATCGGGCCTAGCCCAGCCACCTGCACGTGAGTGACCACCCCCCCAGGACCAGGCGATCGACTCGCCATCCATGCCACCGATCGCGCCCCGACACCGCGAGGGTCCAGAGGGGGGGAGGGGGGCCTGGATCAGACGCCTCTGCTGCTCGCGCCCCCGACCCCGCGAGGGGCCCGAGCAGGGGGCATGGATCCGACGCCGGCCTCTGGGGACCAGGCCTTGGCGTGTGCGCGTGCCTGTGCCCTGTCGCCTCGGGGCCCAGCGCGGGAGGAGAAGGAGGAGGGGGAGGAGGAGGAGAAGGAGGAGGAGGAGGAGGAAGAGGAGGAGGAGGAGGAGAAGGAGGAGGAGGAGGAGGAGGAGGAGGAGGGGCGGCGGCACGGTCGTGGACCGAGCTCCGAGCGCTGGGGGAGCGGCCGGCCCCGCCAGGCGGCTGCCGGGCGGTGAGCAGCGAAGCCGCCCTCGCCCTGGAGGACAGCGCGGCCCAGGGGGGAGACGAGACGAGACGAGACGCGCGAGTCCGCCGGCCGGCGGGCCGGCAAGCCCCTTAGGGGCGGCGCGGGCGGGCCGGAGCCCGGCCATAGGCGCACGAACTTCAAGAAGTCGCTCTCGAGGTCCGTCCAGGATTTGACATGTGTAGCACTCAGTAACCATGTGCTGGGTGCGCTCCCCACCAAATCGCAGGGGGGGCGCAGGTCCAATCAGACAACGGAGCTACGCGCCGAAGGGGGTTGGCGTCAGCAGGACTGCTGACACGCCACTGCAGGAGAATGGCAGCTGCCCAAGCTCAACCAAGGAGATGATTTGAGGCGATGCTCTACAATGTTGGTCAAAGCCACCGACATAACCGACACCGTACCATTCCCAGTCTTTCCCCTCTCATTTCATACCTTATCGCCCCCTTCCCTCATCCAACTCCGCAGACCCTGTCGGCGTGTGCGAGGGGCCTCTCCGTTCGACTTCTCGTCTCCGTCGTCTCCTCGTCGCCTTCGTCGTCGTCACAATCGTCTCCTCGCCGTATCCGTCGTCCCCCGTCCCTTTCCCTGGGCCCTCCTCAAGCGTGCCATCCAAAGTGAAATTGTGTAACGTCGTATTGGAGTCGAAGAGAAGGCCCTTCCCTTTGATCCCTTCCCTGCGGGGGGGGGGTCCCGCGGGGGCTCCGGGGGGGGGGGGTCGCCACCCAGCTTCGTTTTCCCCCGGGCGGCCCCGACATATCGAACAGCCCCAAAGAGAACCCAGAATGCCGAAGATGGCTCCCAAGATTGCCCACAAGAGCCCCGTGTCGCTCAAAGATCGGCCCAACACGGCCAAGATGGCCCCAAGACGATCCAAGAAGCCTCCTAGACGTCCCAGGAGCTCTTCAATAACACCCCCAACAAGGCTCCAAGAGACTCCTCCCCTCCTCCTCCGCTCCTTCCTCATCCTCCTCCTCCTCCTTCTCCTCCTCCTCCTCCTCATCTGTCCCCCTCCTCTTTCTCCTCCTGCTCCTTCTACTCCTCCTCCTCCTCCTCCTCCTCGTCCTCCTCCTCCGACTTCCTCTCCTCCTCTCCCTCCTCCTCATTATCCTTCTCCTTTTCCTCCTCATTGTTGTCCGTCCTCCTCTTCTTCCTGATTATCATCCTCTTCCTCCTGACCTCCCTCTTCCTATTCCTCGTCCTTCTCCTCCTCCTCCTCCTCCTCCTCCTTCTCCTCCTCCTCCTCCTGACCTCCCTCTCCTTCCTATCTCTCGTCCTCCTTCTCTTCGTATTCCTATCCCTCTCTCGGGCAGGATAAGCCGCAGCGAAAGGAGACAACAGACGAGAAGGAGACATAAGCATGGACCATGGATGGGTGCCTGCTACACGTTCCCCTCCGCCTACCCCTCCTTCTCTTCCTTCTCCTCCTCATCCTCATTCCTCTCTCCCTCCATCCACCCGCCAAAAGCACGAAGGAAAGGAAACGCAGAGGAGCCGGAAAGTGAGTCGCAGCTCCCAGGACACGAGCCCACGAAGGAGGCAGAAGAGGAGGCAGAGCGGAGCGAAGGAAAACGAGACAGGCCGAACAGAGCGGAGGAGGACACGGAGGAGGCAGGATAAGCCGCAGCAAAAGGAGAAAACAGCCGAGAAGGAGACAAAAGCATGAAGGATGCATGGGTGTCTGATCCACCCCTTCCTTCTCCTCCTCCTCCTCCTCCTCCTCCTCCTCCTCCTCCTCCTGCCACTCCTCCTCATCCCCCTGCACCCCCCCCACCCCATCCCTTTAGTCTTCGTCGTCTTCAGGGTCGGCGGCACCGACCGTAAGGCCTTCGCAATAGCCTACATTGAACGATACGCACGCTCCATGCCTGCGTCAGCGGGCCACCGGGAACTCAACCCGATGGTCAGACCGAATACCTTCTGGTGCCGAAGGCACTCGAGAGACGAGGCGGGGTGCAAAAAAAATTGCCATCCGCGTGGTCGTCGTGTTCCCCCTTCAAGGTCGGCGGCACCGGCCGCAAAGGCCTTCCCAATATACATACGCGCAGCCAAGCCTGAGCAGCCCAGGAACGAAGTAAGGACCGACACGCGCCAGGCAACTCCTCCGCCCCCTCCCCCTCCTCTCCCCCCCTCTCCCCCTCCCCCTCCCCCTCCTCTTCCTCCTCCTCCTCCTCCTCCTCCTCCTCCTCCTCCTCCGCCCTTCCCCCCTCCTCCTCCTCCTCCTCCTCCTCCTCCTCCTCCTCCTCCTCCTCCTCCTGCCACTCCTTATGCTTTTCCTTCTCCTCCTTCTCCTGCTGCTGCTCCTCCTCCTCCTCCTACTCCTCCTCCTCCTTCTCCTCCTCCTCCTCCTGCTGGTGCTGCTCCTCCTCCCACTCCTCCTCACACTCCTCGTTCCCCGTCCTCCCTGGCCTCCTCTCCCCTCCAGCTCGCCTTCGCGAGCACCGACGAGGCGCTGGGCGGGGCACAGGCACCTGAAAGCTTCGGGGGGGGGGGCGCCTAGAAGATGGAGGGCCTTGATTTACTCATGAGCTCCACCTCTCACTGCATGTTTGCCCACAGCCCCACCTCTCATGAGCTCATGAGCTCCACATCGTCATTGTTTGAGCTGTCCTTTTGCATGCTGCATATTTCACGATGCAAGCACAGCAGGCAAAGAGTCCCTGAAGCTCGACCCGAAGTCGGAACGCCGATCGGACTGCTGGCGACCGTGATCAATAGCGTACAGCTAGCAGAAGCGTACTATCTTTCCTTTCAGACACCTGACGAGCGACCCGTGACCGCCAAAGCTGTTGGAATAAAAAACTCGGCGTGCCGTCTCTCGACTTGAATCGGCCTGCATTCGATCGGAATTCTCCCCTCTCCTCCTTCTCCTCCTCCTCCTCCTCCGCCTCCTCCTCCTACTCCTTCCTCATCCTCGTCCTCATAATCGTCATCATCCACGCATCCCTTATTACATTCGTCATCCTCCTCCTCCTCCTCTTCCTCCTCCTCCTCTCCCTCCTCCTCCTCCTCCTCCTCCTCCTCCTTCTCCTCCAACTCAACCTTCCCCTCCTCCTCCTCCTCCTCCTCCTCCTCCTCCTCCTCCTCCTCCTCCGCCTCACCCTCCTTCTCCTCCTCCTCCTCATCCTCCCTCCTCCTCCTCCTCCTCCTCCTCCTCCTCCTCCTTCGCCTCACCCTCATCATCATCATCCTCCTCCTCTCCTCCTCCTCCTCCTCCTCCTCCTCATCCTCCTCCTCCTCCTCCTCCTCCTCCCCCCCTCATCCCACCCCTCCTCGTCCGCATCAGATCAGCATCATCACCACCATCATCCACCACCATCACCACCACCACCACCACCATCGCCACAACAACCACCACCATCATCATCATCATCATCATCATCATCATCATCATCATCATCATCATCATCATCATCATCAGCATCAGCATCAGCATCAGCATCAGCATCAGCATCAGCATCAGCATCAGCAGCATCATCATCAACACCACCACCAGATCAGCATCATCATCATCATCATCAGCAGCAGCAGCATTACCATCACCACCACCACCACCATCAGAATCATCATCATCATCATCATCATCATCAGCATCAGCATCGGCAGCAGCAGCATCTGCATCAGCGTCATCAAATTCAACATCAGCATAATCCTCATCATCATCACCGCCATCATCATCATCAGCATCATCAGCATAAGCATCATCATAAGCACCACCATGATCAACAACCACACTATGAACACGCCTCCCCCTCCACCTCCTCTTCCTCCTCCTACCCCTCCTCGAACCCATTATCCTCAGCATCGTCATCATCATCTTCTTCTGCATAATCATCATCAGCGTCAGCATCATCATCATCATCATCATCATCATCATCATCATCATCAGCAGCAGCAGCAGCATCATCATCATCAGCAGCAGCAGCAGCAGCAGCAACAGCAGAAGCATGAGCATCACCATGAGCATCATCATCAGCATCAGCATCAGCATCAGCATCATCAGCATCAGCATAATAATCATCAACAGCATCAGCAGCAACATCAGCAACATCAGCATAACCAGCATCATCATCATCATCATCATCATCATCATCATCATCATCATCATCATGAGCATCAGCATCAGCATCAACATCATCATCAGCCTCATCATCAGCAGCATCAGCATCATCATCATCGGCATCATCAGCATCAGCATCATCATCAGCGTCATCATCCGAATTGCCCTCATACTCCTCATGTCAGTCCTTCTTATCCCTCCACCTCCTCATGCAACTAGGGAAAGGGGTAGGGGGGGGAACCGAGCTCTTCCTCATAATTACCGTCGCCATCGCCACCAGCATCACCATAAGCATCATCAGAAGCAGCAGCCGCAGCAGCAGCAGCATCATCACCATCAGCAACAACCTTGTATCAACACCAGCACAATCATCATCGTCACCATCATCATCAGCATCATCGGAATCATTATCAGACACATCATCATCACAAGCATCAGCAAAATCATCATCGTCGTCATCATCATCATCACCAGCAGCATCCTCATCACCATCATCAGCATCATCATACACATCATAAGCATCATCAACCTCGTCATCCTCAGCATCACAAACATCATCAGCATCAGCATCGGCAGCAGCATCATCAGCAGCATCAGCATCAGCATCAGCATCCGCATCAGCATCAGCATCAGCATCAGCATTAGCAGCAGCATCATCAGCATCATCAGCATCGTCATCGTCATGACCATCAGCAGCATCATCATCATCACCAGCATCATCAGCACCAGCATCAGCATTCTTAGATGCATGTGCATCATCAGCAGCACCATCATCATCAGCCGCAACCACATCATCAGCATCACCAGTATCAGCATCATCATCACCTTATTCATCAGCATCAGCATCATCATCAGCAGCATCAGTATCATCAGCATCATCATTAGCATCATCATCATCATCACCACCACCATCGTCATCATCATCGTCGTCATCGCCACCACCAGCATCATCATCACCTCCACCACCACCATCATCATCATCAGCATCATCGTCATCATCATCGACATCGTCATCAGAATCATCAGCAGCATCAGCATCATCCCCATCATCACCATTCATCATAATAAACTTAATCATCAACAGCATCATCATCATCATCATCATCATCATCATCATCACCACCACCATCACCATCATCAGCAGCAGCAGCGTCGTCATCGTCATCAATCATCCTTATCAGCATCGTCAGTCCGTTGTCCTGCCAGGTACTGCCGCCCTGTCGCACCGCACGGTGTGTCGATGTGGCCGGCCAGCCGTCCTGCCCGAGACTTCCCAATATGTTACGATCCTGAAGCTTGAAATTTATCATAGATACCCTCTGGCACCCCTGGATGCAGAGCTCGGCAGCCTGGCCTCGCCATATATGCTGCCAACGCACTATAGGAGCTCAAACTGGCGCACGAATTCATTCGTTACGATGGCGCCCCCTGCACGTCCCGCCGCGGGGCCCTGCGATCACCGGGCAGGGCGACAGGGCGGAGCTGGCCAGATAGAGTTGCCCGACTAGCCGTGCGTCTGCAGCAGCAGGACGTCTGCAGCAGCAGGGCTGAGCACAAGTCGTTTTCAAAATGGAGCGTTCGTCGTGCCGCGGAGAAGCGTCCTACAAGCTTGCAACAAGTACACGCAAGGGGGAGGCTGTTAGAGATAAAGCCCATGCCCTACGTAACCCCGCGCACACTCGCCTTAAAAGTGTGCGCCGCGTGCATTCGTCTAAGACGCTCGCAACTGCTACAAAGATGGAGCACGGGTCGCTTTCACATCGGAACTATCGGCTGAGCGCCGTGAGCTTCCGCCTTAGAAGTTTGCAACCGTTGAGAAGATGGATTCAGCACATTCGTCTTCCTTTTAAGTTTGCAACAATTACACAGGAGGGGGGGTTGTTCTCAAAAGGAAGCTCTCAATCTAGCGCAGCTCACTTTCGTCTTGAAAATGTTGCAGAAAGAAACACGGACGGAGCACAGGCCGTATTCGAAATCGAGCTCTCAACTTGGCGCGCACAGTCGCGTTGAAAGCAATCCACAGTGACAAAGACGGAGGACGGCTCCTTATCAAAATGGGGCTCTCGCTTAAGATTTCCTCAAAGTTCACGTCTGGAAAAACAAAAGTATGAAACACCTACACAAACAGGACCCGTCCTTATCCAAAACGAAAAGATCGCTGGACTCCTCGTTGAGCTGTGTAATCCTACATTTACATTCCCGCGTTCTTTTTGTTCGCTAGAAGGATGTGGGCGATTCCTTCTCAAAGCGGGGCTGTCGCCTGAACAGGAAGCCCCCAGGGTGACGGCCTTTCGAGGGGACATCTCTTCCAGTGGAAGGGAAAACCTGCAGGAAATTATGAGGAGGGGACTTGGGACGAAAGGGTGTATTGCAGCATCGCTACGCATTATGGGTTTACTCTGGTCCTTCTTCCTTCTCCTCATGCTACCACCCCGCCATCCTGGGTATATTGTTCCTCCTCCCCCTACGCCCATTGCACGTGATCTCTTTCCCTCTTTCTTTGACAGCCGGTTTTGAAGTAATCCCTCTAACGCGACAGCACAGTCCTCTAACGCACTCAGTTCTGCTGTGAATGAAGATCTCGGCTCTGTCATGTCAATGTCCTCTCTCGCCAAAATTGAGACATCTGGTCCACGATGTGTCTGTATGTGCGCTTCCAACACCCACGTCCCCTCATCCGTCCTCCTCATCCTCGTCATTATCGTCCTCTTACCTACTCAGTGTCATCATCATCATCATCATCAGCAGCAGCAGCATCATCATCAGCAGCATCAGCATCAGCATCAGCATCAGCATCAGCATCAGCATCAGCATCAGCATCAGCATCAGCATCAGCAGTAGCATCATCATCTGCGTCATCACCATCATCATGAGCATCATCATCATCATCAGCAGCATCATCAGCATCATCATCATCAGCAGCAGCAGCAGCATCACCATCATCATCATCATCATCATCATCATCATCATCATCATCATCATCATCATCATCATCATCATCATCATCATCATCATCATCATCATCATCATCATCATCATCATCATCATCATCATCATCATCATCATCATCCTTCCTCGTCCTCTGCTCCCTTTTCACATAATCCTTTTCTCCCCTCCTGATCATCCGTCCTCGTCCTCGTCCTCCTCCTCCTGTTTCTCCTCATGATAATCCTGAATACTCTCCCTCTGCCTTTTAATTCCTCCTCACCCTCTCTCCCCTCCGAGGTTACCAAAGGGTTCGGCGTGGCCCTGGAGCGTTGGTAGCGTGCCCCTGCCCCCACCGATGACCCGCCACAGAGAGCTGGGCGTGAGGTTTATGCGCTGAGCGCCGCGCCCAATCCTAGCCTCCTCCCTAGAGGGTAGGGGGAGGAGGAGGAGGAGGGGGAGGAGGAGGAGGAGGAGGAGGAGGAGGAGGAGGAGGAGGAGGAGGAGGAGGAGGTGGAGGAGGAGGAGGAGGAGGAGGAGGAGGAGGAGGGAGGGAGGAGGAGGAGGAGGAGGAGGAGGCGGACGAC